CCGTTGTCCCCCCCCTCCCCGGGTTGCTATCCAGGCTGCTGGACCCAAACACAATAATACCAAACAAGCAAATCAGCTTCTACCATCCACCCCAGCCTCTAAGTTCTCAATTCTTCGTTGGTTTGGACACACACTTCAAAGGTAAGGTTTTCCAAACGTGGCCCCTGAGATGCGTGTGAGACGTGGGGGCAGTGGTGAGCTGATGGCATAGACCTTCCTTTCCCTCCATCACCATTGTTCTTGCTTGTGGTTCTCCAGCTGCCCACAGAGAACTCTACACTTGATGACCCCCATGAACTTTATCTGAACACCCATCTACACTAATAAAAGACAAAGATGCAAATTGACCGTACCTTTACTACGCCTTAAGCCACGCCCCCCAGCCAATCAGAGCGACTATATGCAGATCAACCCAATTAAGATGGCAGCCGGCAGCCACGGAGCTGGAGTGAGCAGGAGGCTTGCTTGCTCCAATGATGGAGGAAGCTAAGGTTTCCCGCCTGCTGTGGCCCAGCTCTGATCTCTACTAAAAGCAGCAAAGTTTCAATTATAGAAGGTAAATAAACCCCAGATACCTGCTTTCAGCTGGCCAAGGCCACGGAGCTGGAGTGAGTAGGAGGCCCATCCTGGCCGGCTCTGAGCTCCACTCCAGGCTACAAAATTTCAATTATAAAAGGTAAATAAATCCCAGAATAAAAAAAAATAAGGAGAGGCTGGGAGTTTCCGTCACCAGGGGGGCTTGGCGAGCCTGAAAACGGCCCTCAGTCCCTCACCCAGACTGGCCAGGCACCCCAGTGAGGAACCCCCACCCTAAAGGGGGTGTGGCCAGCCTGCAAGCAGCCATCAGCCCCTCACCCAGGCTGGCCAAACCTCCAAGGGATGAGGGTCCCCATTGGGGGGGACCTTGGCAAGCCTGCAAACAGCCATCAGCCCCTCACCCAGGCTGGCCAGGCACCCCACTGGGACCCCCACCCTGATCCAGGACACCCTTCAGGGCAAAACAGCCGGCCCGCCCCCATGCACCAGGCCTCTATCCTATATAATGAAAGGGTAATATGCAAACTGACCCTATCAGCAGAACGACTGGGAATCACCGGTCACTATGACACACACTGGCCACCAGGGGACAGACGCTCAATGCAGGAGCTGCCCTCTGGTGGTCAGTGAGCTGCCACATGGAGGTGCTCTGCTCAGCCATAAGCCAGGCTGATGGCAGCCAGTGCAGCGGTGGTGGTGGGAGCCTCTCCTGCCTCCTCAGCAGCGCTAAGGATGTCCGACTGCAGCTTAGATCTGCTCCCCGCTGGCAAGTGGACATCCCCGAGGGCTGCCGGGCTGCCAGAGGGATGCCTGATTGCCAGCTTAGGCCCAGTTCCCCAAGGAGCAGGCCTAAGCCAGCAGGTGGTCATCCCCTGAGGGGTCCCAGACTGCGAGAGGGCACAGGCCAGGTTGAGGGACCCCCCCACCCCCGCCAGTGCACAAATTTTTGTGCACTGGGTCTCTAGTAATAAATAAATAATAACAAGAAGAGCATTATAGGAAATTAAATGTAGAGAGATAAAAGAAAAACTAAAAGTGAAAATATGAATCTTTAAGACCAACAGTGTGGAGAAGTGGATTCTGGATTCAGCCTGCCCAGGTTTGATTCTGCCTCTCTGCCCCTTACAACCATGTGACCTTGGGACAAGCTAATTAACTTCTCTGGAACTCCTTTGGTTCATCTGTAAAACAGGACTAATAGTAAATCCTCATAGGACTGTGATGGAGACTAAATATATCAATAAAGCACTTAGAATGTTGCCTGCCAAAGTGCAACAGGTATTTGTTTACCTATTCCATCATTCACCAAACATTTACTGAGCATCTACTATGTGCTGGGCACTATTCTAGGTTCTATAAATACATTAGTGAATAGAATAGATAAAACTCCCTGCCTTTGTGGAGCTTATATTCAGAGAGACTCTGATATATTTTGAAGGTAGAAAGCTCAATATATATTAGTTGTTAAAAAACCCCCATAAAATATATAAAGTAATCATGTAAAGAGATTTGTACTGATTGAGTTAATGAAAATAATAAAGCATAAAATCTAATAGAAAAAAACACTCCGCTGCCTGTTCTCATGGCGAACAGAGCGCACATTAAGAACAGGTGAAGGCAGCTTGTGTACCAAATGCAGGGGAACCTGCCATCCTGGGCTCCCAGATGCTCTCAGACTCAGATCATCACACTCTGCCAGCTTTTCAGAACAAGACCGCCTCTTGGAATCTTTATCCCCTCTTTCATCCTGGTCTCATTCCACGTGGTTACTTCAACTTCCATGCAGGCACTTGACTGCTTTGTGTTGGGTTGTTTTTAATGCTGCTTCCTAGGTTTCTGCCAGCAATCCAGTTTTACAAATTACTTGGCTGAGATTGTATTGTTGTTTCCCTTTGAAACTGTGATTCACACTGTACACCCTCTAAACAGAATCCTCTCAGCCCGCAAGACTGAAGAGCTTGTTTAAAAAACAAATTGCAGAACAGGCTGTTGCCCAGAGTTTTCATGCAGCCCGCTCAAATGGTCAAATATAATTAAAAAAGCACATTTGAGATCTCTATCTTTTAAAAATTGGCCAACATATTTTCAGATGCTGCTCAGATAGTGACGTCACTTTACACCTCCAGGGTGCCCAAGACAGGTCCAGTCCACTGAGAAAACAAACTTCAAATTATAGAAGAAAAGGAGAACATGCTGACCATTTGCAAAGTAGTCTTAGAATTTTTGTAAGATATATTTGAATTGGACTTTCCAATTTAATAAGAAAGGGCAGTGATCACATGAAGCTTGTAGAACCCTTGGTCCATAAACTTTTAACTCAGGAAAAAACTTAGGGACCTCTTCTTTTGTCCATTCTCTCATGTGTAATATGGGACAGTAATAATATTGACCTCTCGGTATTATTTTGGAATTAAATCAGAGAATGAATCTAAATACTAAATACCACACCTGGGGCAGAATCAATGTTTAGCAAGTGCTGGCCATTCTTGTTGTTATGCATTGCACAGCTCCTGCCACCTGCTCTCTCCTGAGAGAGAGGCAGTTACAATAGCAAAGCACTGAGTCCATGACACTGCACTGGCAGAATTGGAAGGACCCAGCCTATGGTAGATTATTCCTCACTGGTTCAAGAAGCCCCCAGGAGTGCCTTGGGTCTGTTTGAAAAGTGAACCTTTTTGCCTGTTACAAAAGAGACCTCATTTTCCTTGGCTGGCCCCTGAAACCATATGGGGTGATACTTAAGGGTCCTGATAAGGGCCACAATGTTACTATCCACCCTGTACCTCAAGCCTCCAATCCTCCCAAGACCACCAATATGTTGTACCCTTCCCCTGCCTCATCTTCAGTGTCTTAAGGAGACCCATGAAAGAAGACCTTTCATCTTTACCATCTGCTCTATTCAATGCATCCGAACAAGCCCCTGGGGAAAGTGTGGCTGGGCTTCATGAAATCACAGCCTCTCCTATCTGGGGCCCTTTTCTCTCACCCAATGTCTTCCCCCAGTTAATTATTTGCCTGGGGTTCCTCAGTCACTCATGCAGATCCCAGTGGTTCTGCCCAACTTATCCTCCAAGGTCATGGAATTATTTTGGCTTTCACACTGGGATGACACCTCGATTTTCTGGGAAGGCAGCAAATGCAGGTCCCAGCTCTAGCTTGGCAGCTCTAGCTTGGCACTTCCGATTGTGCAAGGATGGGCTGCTGCTTTAACTTTCGGTGCCTCTCAGGGTTGCAGTCAGGACCGATTGTACTAATCATGAAAAGTGGTAGGCTCAGTCCCAGGAGCAAAGGCAGCTCTTTATTGCTGCTTGTAGCTATTTTCAGTTCCATGCCAAGATCCCTGCTACCAACAGGAAACACATTTCCCTCAAGCACCATCCTAGACAGAATTCTTCCTCCTTCTTCCCCTTCATCCAGCAGCATTAAGACCCTGCTATTTCTGGACCAAAACCCCTTCTAGATTATATATATACTAGAGGCCCAGTGCACAAAATTCGTGCATGTTAGGGGGTGTCTCCTCAGCCCAGCCTGCACCCTCTCCAATCCAGGACCCCTTGGGGGGTGTCTGACTGCTGGTTTAGGCCCGATCCCAGGGATCGAGCCTAAACCGGCAGTCAGACATCCCTCTCACC